CTACACATGCTTCGTTATGTAGCCACGAGGGTCGTCAATTCATAATCCGAGTCATGCACACAAATATTTTCCCGGTCGCTGCCAAAAATACGAGCATCGCGAAAAGCGGAGTTGCGGAACGAAGGAACCGAAGATCATTCAAATTTTATGCCCAAAACGGGACTCGTTCTCTCAATTCGGTTTCCGGAAAAGGGACCGGCTCGCCATGCCGCACAGTGGGTCGAGCTACTGGAAGAGGTCGGACATGATTCAAAAACTTGAAAAGCGTCAGGGTGTCTACCGGTCCCCAAAAATCCCCAATGTCCCCGATTATCCCCGATTTCGGAAGGGTGTCCCCGATATCCCCGAAAGTCCCCAATTTTCTTGATTAGGTCCCCAAAAAATGACAAAAATCGTACTAAACACCGGCATTTTCAAATATTCGCGCAGCGCGGTATACCTAACCTGGAATGAAAAAACTGAATGGTTGCTTGTTTCTTCGGATGCGATTTCATCGGTTCAACATGACTTATAAAATTAAACGTATAAAATACGTCTTTTAATGCTCTACCTAGCTCCCCTCTTACTATTTCGGGGAAAAAGTCACCGATTTTCTTGAAAAAGCACCACTGAAGGTCTCCGAAAGTCCCCAATTTTGGTTTTTCATAACTGATAGACACTCTGAGCGTAAATTCTCATTAATATATGAAATGTTGATGTTTTAAAAGTGGTTTCATCGGTTTTATCGTAAAATTTTCTACTTGAAACATCCCTTAAAATTTAAAATTTGATCAAATAAACTTAAAATTCGCAGTTTTAGTAAAAAAATTGATGTCTGACTTCTTCTCTTGACTCGACCTGTTGTGCGCCGCTGCCTGGGCGCCATCGCTGTTTCCTGACTATTTTGACCCGGACGGGTTGATATAGCAAGAAAGGCGAAACAACTGCTCGACAACCCACGATTTTATTATTTGTTCGAAATTCTCCTACCCGCAACGAGCGGCCTCATAAACCCGTTAGATTTTCCTGCTCCACCCAGGAAAAAATTCTGCGATCGCGCGGATATGATAAGTCTTTGTGAATCTGCTGCTCCATCCGCCAAAGTATCGCGCTTGGAGGGCGAAAAAACAACAGTAATAGGACGTTTATTTGACGTAAGTTTGAGAAAAGAAAAAAGAAGGAGAAGAAAAACAGTAATTGAAACTTTATTTGACGTGAGTTTGAAAAAGAAATCCCTACCTTAATTGAGGGGCTTCGAGGAGAAGGCGCATAAGTGCAGTTTTTGAGAAAGTTGAGATGTTACTGATTTCAAGTAAAACTAATGCATATCCTGTGAGAAATCCCTCTAAAATTCCAATTTTTAAGCATTAAGAAGTCAGTTTGAACTTTCTTTCCGCCATAAGAATCCATGTAATTTCGAAACTTCAAACACGTATTCCTCGAAATAGAAAAACCGGCACTTATGCGCCTTGTCCTCCAAGCCACTCAATTTCAGTGGTCCAGAATGCAGTGTCGACAACAAGGCTCAAATTTTTCAACTGTGGATCTAGAGTTGAGGGAGTCCCGAGGGCAACTTGTTCTTGAGGATTCTCTCAATTGGTTGGAAAAGTATAAAAAAATAGTTGTAGACACATTTTACCTCAATGTATATTATCATTGATGAAAAAATAATGGATTGCAGTACGTAATATTCGGATGGCAAGGGTCTTCGACCGCTCAAATAAGTTTTGCAAAACATTGGGGAAGGGGAAGGTTGTAAAAGACCCCACTTCAAAAGAATTGCTATACAACTTTTAAAAACTAGGGGGCACCGCCTCGCGGTCCAACCCTCCAAAACGCTTCGCGCCTCAGGCGTAATGCGTTACGTGTTACTCTATCGAGTTTATAATACAGCTAGAGTAAGATGTAAAATGTATACTTGCCCCTTGGTTATACCACTAACGGATCTCAAGCATTCATTCAGGCAATTTTTAGCACACTCACAAAACCTCAGGTGCTTTATATTTTTCAAATGCAATGTCATTGAATAATGTTGAGTGATGAACGACGTCAATAATCCTGGCTTTGTCGCACCCTCTGTAAAAGTCTAGAAAGAAGCGGCGGAACAGAGAACTGAATGATCTAACGGATGATAACACTGCAAAATACTTAATGTACTCCTACGGAACTTTATTTGCTTTCGGTCACGATTTGCGTCATTTTTCAAACCAACATGGAACTGGTTTGTAAGCTTTGGCAGTGTTTTCCTCGATTTATGGTGCAATAATCTGTTTTCCCTTTGACAGCTTCCTTTCAAGAATGGATTTTTTCTCTATTTTCTTCGTCCAAGCCTTGCTAGAATGCAGACGGGAAGGTGAGGGGAGCATTAGTTATTTGTTTGCTTGCCCGCCGCATTCTAATACTTCACGTTTGCCGCGATGGTATGACGACCGTACTGTCGTCCTAAGAAAAAACGTCGTATAAACCTTCAAATGTTGCTAAATTGAATTTGATAACCCCCAAATTTTTCGGGAATCTTGTGAATGTTTTTCTCGCAATGTTTATAGGATTTAATTCACGATTTTATTCGAAGTATCTAAAAATGTCAAAGGAAAATATTGCATAAATCATCGTTCCCCGGACGGAGAAACGTAAATCCATTTCAAGGTTGTTAAATTGACTCAAACAATTCAATTTTTTACAAAAATGTACCTACGTCATTTTTGATGAAAATTTTCTCGATATCTGGCACGAGATCAGAGGAAAAATCAAAGTAATTTTCAGTTAGAAATCCCCAAAGATCTCCCGGTAAAAAATCAATTTGCGCGAGAAAATTTGAAAACATTGAAATGAGGTTACGTTCCTTCGGGGGGGGGGGGGGGGGGGGAGGGGGGAGACAACGACGAAATCCCCCCAAAAGTAAATACTTTAAGCACTGGGAGGTATTCGACAACAAGCAAACTATCTCATGGCGTTTTTCCGCATGCACGGTAGAGTAAGAAAAGACTCCCGGAAAATTAACTGAGCTGGAGAGATCACGCAGCCAACTCGCTCGGCTGCTATGAGAGAGGAGGATGCGATCGTTCAAACAACACACAGTGGCACGAGTCCTTGGGAGAAGTCGGACATGAAATTTTTGACAAAAATTGTAAATTTGTACGTTTATTTCGTCACAATTTTAATTCTAAGGGGTGCTTTTTACCGAAAATTCTACGAGAAAACTATAGACTATACCAGGGCCGGATTTACTTCCTTGCCGCCTGTATTTTGCCGCCCCCTCCTCATTCGGTTTGAAACATCATGCAGTAAATAAAAACCATCAAGTGAACGTGCCGGTGAGGGAGGGGTGCATAAGACGCGTTTACTCGTGCTGAACACATTTTTTGCGAAAGCCCTGTCAACACTACTAGAAAAAGTTCACGGAACTTTGCGCGAAAGTTAAGTTTCGTAAACCTATCTCTGTGTGGACAAGGCCTTTCATTTGTAAGAAATGAACGTAAAAATTATGCAAGAACAAACATAAATGTGGTTTAATAATTTTAACTTCCGCCACTACACCGCGTTTACCGCACTGTGTTTGGCGCAATGCGTGAAGTATTCCTTCAGTCTTGTAGGCGCTATGCGTTTCACGCCGACTGCCGCTGAACGCACTGTGTTTGACGCAATGCGTGAAGTACTCATGCAGTCTTGTAGGCGCTAATAAGTGGATATGCCTACCGCCGCGCCGCGCCGCCGAGGGCTTCTCCTTTTCATATTAAGTCCTCATCATCCTTGCTCTCTGCGCCACGCCGTTCCAGGCCAAATTGCGTGTTTGATTTCTCTCTGAACTCGACTAATTAAAGATGCTATCTCCTGTATCACTGAAAGACGACAAAATTAGAAATGACTGTACCCTCATGAAATGAGACATTTTGTCGCCTTTTCTTGTTTGTAATTGTATTACTGAATCCGATTATTTTTAATACCTACATTTAAAAAAATTATAAAATTTGCCACCATTAGCCGCGGCCAATGTGGCTACCCCCTAAATCCGGCCCTGGACTATACCTCTAGAACATTTGCATTTCATATTAATGAAGATATCGACGGCGTAAGTCCGCGATCACATATCTCGTTTGCGGTGTCTGAAAATTTCCGCCACTATGTTATTTTTGTAAAGGAGAACAAATTGACATGCATCCCATGAAATTTTTGCAGTTTTAAAGAGTTTCCGTTGAGTAGTTTCCCGTTTAAAAAATAAAGTATGACAGGAAGTCTGCGACGTCGCAAACCGAGTTATTTGAATGCCGACTCACACCATCGATTTGCATTTGGATTGCATTTTGCAAAAAGGAACCACTAGCATTGCAATGATGCTAAGATTGAGCAACTTCATCTTTTGCAATAGAATTGCGGAAATCGTGAAAAACTATGAAATTTAGATGGTAATTTTTGTCTTAAATTTACAGTTTTTAGCGAGTAAAGTAGAAACTATTAATGGATAATCGGGTTTTTCCTCCAAGACAAAGAAAGTTGCACAATCTTAGCAACATTGCAATGCTAGTGGTTCCTTTTTGCAAAATGCAATCCATTTCATATTAATGAAGATGTACGCTTTTAAAGTTTTTAAAACATGTCCAACCTCTCCCATTGACTCGGTCCACTGTGCGACAGTCGCGAAGAGGGAGCAGGAGAGGTCAGGGCATGGAGCATAATAATTTCGGGAGTCTCAACTCGCGTTTGACTTCGTGTTTCGCTCGCATCGCATGCTTCCGCCTCGGGCCTCGCTCCCGACAAGACCCGACTGAATGGTAAAATTGTGATAGTAAAAATAAGTAGGTCGAGGCGCGTAGCTCATATTCTGCACATCGTCCAACCGTCACTGTCTCTCACCAGTGCATGCTTTCCGCAACACGGTGCGGATATATTTATACACGAATTTTGTCTCTGTTTGTTTCAGTTGAATTATATCGAAGTCAGTGCGAGAAAATCTGGGGTGACCTCTTTTGATTGACGCATTTTTCAATTCTGGATTCATGATTCATTCGTTTTTTATTTTACAGACGAGTAACAGATACGCTCTCCAGGGAATGCGTTGAAGATCGATTGACCCAGTGCTGAATTTGTAATAAATAGTTCAACCAAAAAAAAAATGTATTTGATTTTTGTTTTGTAGATTTGGTGAATTTTTTCTCTCGTTAAATAATCACTGTGAGTCTATATATTTGATTTTCAATATAAGGCCTCTAGAAATCCTCAGTTGTTAATTTTTTACGTAATTCCTATCCACCACCACCACTGAATGTACCACCTCTTATTCTTCATGGTGTTAAGTCAGAGCTAACAGAACTTATACCCCCCCCCCCCCCCCCNGATCATATTTAACTTGCAAGCAGATATCTTTGTTATCGTACGAAAACCTCAGCCGCAACATACTTTGCTCCTCACTAATTTTGTGGTCGAACTCCCAGCAGTCAGTGGGATTTGTCCTGAGGAAGTATCTCACTTGCGAAGTTGGGAAAAATATTGAGCCAATCAACACTAATCCCAGTCTCAAGTGTGAAATGGAGTCCTTGTTGAGTCCTAAGCGACGCATAGAGAAGGAGAAATTTTGTCGTTTTCTTCAACGGGGAAAAAGCCCAGAAGCGACAAGCCAGTATTCCTGCCATTCGAAAAAAAATAAAGTATTCCTACCATTCGAAAAAAAAAACAAAGTATGACAGGAAGTCTGCAACGTCGAAAACCAATATACTTGGTTTAATAGGAGGTTTCACTATCGATACACTCAATTGTATAAATGAGTCCCTTTTCTCTCTCTCTCTCTCTCTCTCTTTTTTTTCATATTTAAGTATTCCAAAATTCTAATGCCAATTCATTACTCCTCAACGCAGACGAGGCTGAAAGGTAATGAAAACAAAATCGGAATTTTGGAAAAACGAGAAACCATTTTTGAAGAAAATAACTTTTTTATTTTTATTTTTACCGTTTACGTATTATTTACCATTTACGCCATGAATGACTGAGATAAAGAACCAGGTAACGTATACTTGGGATAAGGGATTGACAAATGGTCGAATATTAAAAAGATCTTGATACAAGAATCAACGAATTACAGATGGAAACTCAAACCAGTCATTCTGGTAGGGTATGTTGTATTTGTCATTTTTGCAGGCGTTCTATCTTTTCGACGGTTAAACTTTAAAACGGTCAGAGACAGTGTAAACTCACATGAATGCGGAGTATCTCATCAAAACATTAGTCTTTCCGATTTCAACCATGTTTTTTGCGCCTAGAGTAATAATTTCAAATAATTGTAAAACTTTTAATCACAGAAAGAGTTATTATGGTGATAACTAAAACTAAGTTAGATTTAGTTTTCCTCTCTGTAGAAAAATTAAAAAAAACTGTGACTTCCGTGTCACACACAAAATAAGCGGTAACAGTAATCGTTAAAAAGTGATTGATATCGTTTTGTGATTTACATTATGGTCCGACCATCAGCGACGCGCGACATGAGCGAGGTCCGACATTTCAAATTTGCCGCGTTTAGCATGTTACATGATTTGGCGGGAACTGTGGTGCGTTTCCGGTTTCCGGCGGCGCTTTCCGAACATCCACCATTTATCAATCACCGAACCGCGTTGTTTACGAAAGAGGTTAGAAAAACAAAAAGAGCCGTTCGGCTATTATGAATTGGGAATAATTGAAATTTTCTCTAATTTTACATAGAATTTCTATCTTTGATTACAATCGGTTTTACATCGTGTTATAGTTCTTAAGAACTTTTCATTTGTGTGGTGTATGTGTCGCGAATACTGAAGAAATGGCGAACAGAACTGTGAAGGATGCCAAGTCGGTTAAAGGAACTAATCCTCAATATCTAGTGGAAAAAATTATTCGTTCTCGTATTTACGACAGTAAGTTTTGGAAAGAAGAATGTTTCGCCCTAACAGCAGAATTAATGGTCGACAAAGCCATGGAATTGCGTTTTATAGGAGGTGTTTTCGGTGGTAACATCAAGCCCACTCCGTTCCTGTGTCTGATCTTGAAAATGCTTCAAATTCAACCGGAGAAGGACATTATCGTGGAGTTTATCAAGAATGAAGAGTTCAAGTACGTGCGTGCACTTGGAGCATTTTATATGCGGTTAGTTGGTACTTCACTAGACTGTTATAAGTATCTAGAGCCATTGTACAATGACAGTAGGAAACTCAGACGCCAGAATCGCCAAGGTGTTTTCGAACTGGTACACATGGATGAATTTATAGATGAGCTTTTACGGGAAGATAGAGTGTGTGATGTGATTCTTCCAAGAATACAAAAAAGGCACATTTTAGAAGAAAGTAACGAACTTGATCCTAAGATCTCAGCCCTGGATGATGATTTCGAAGACATTGTAGAGAGTTCGGAAGACGATGAAGAGGAAGAAGAAGCGGAAGTTAAGCAGTATGATGAATCAAAATATGACTTGGAAGCCGTTGCTAAGGAACGACCCCATCGTTCTCGAAGAGAGAGAACTCCAGAGAAAAGTAGAGATTATGAGAGGGATCACGAGAGAGATTATGATCGTGACTATGACAGAAAGCATAAGCGAGACAAGCGACCAAAAGAAAAAACGAAGTATAGAGATAGAAGTAGAAGTCGTGAGAGGGAGCGTGTCAGAGAAAGAAGTCGTGACAGAGACATGGGGAGAATGCGAGAAAGAGACAGAGGCAGGGATACTGGTAGAGATGGTGGTAGAGATAGCGGTAGAGACAGGGACAGAGAAAACCGTGACAGAGATCGAAGATACAGATCTGATAGATACAGAGATCGTGATTATTGACTTTCCTAGTCTTACCTGTTTCCTTGAAGTTTTGAATCATGAATGTGTTTGGGAAGTTGTATAAAGTTTGACCACTCTACTGTACAAATTTACCAGTTCCTGTTTTTTACTTGATGTCAAATCTGCTAGGCAGTTGTTTGTCACAAACTTATTACTGATATCGTACATCAAATTGGGCTAAATAAAACAAGGCAATTTTCAAATCTGGTATGATACTAGGTAGCATTTCAAAATGTAAATCGAGAGTCTCACCCGGTTTTAGGAGACAACTTCCTACTTAAGTACGACTTATTCAAAGGAGGAGTTGCATTTTTGGCCTTTTCCGGCCCCACCTGGATTTTGCTAAATGTTTCATATTTTCAAAGTACTAGTCTTAGGTAGACTCTGTGCCAAATATTAGACCGAACGGAGCCCATGCAAGGGCGCAGCAGCGCCTCAAACCCAAAATCCTGGAATCGAAAAACAATTATTTTCGTCGACTTTTTCCACTGTTATCACTCTTCCAGCACATGATTCTTATGTATTTTTTTGCGTACTTTTCGTTTCTGGCCTTTTTAAAGGCCTCCGATAAATTTTAAGGGGCCTTATGGCCCATTGTTGCCATTTTTGGCCCATTTTTAGGGGTTTTTTCCATTTAACACATTCAAAACTCAATTTAATCCAAAAACTGTGTACATTTTTTAAAAGTACGTAAAAAAATGAATAAAAAATGTTCAGTAAAATTTTTTCCTATGTTGCCAAATTTCCGAGAAAATTGGTCCCAAAGTGTCAAAAACGGCAAAAAATCGATAAATCGCCGCGTCTAAGGTTCAAGAAAGTGGAGTACATTTTTCATACTGTACCAGATAACAGCTCTTATCCATCCATACAACATACTAAAATATCATAGTTGTACCTGGATTCCCACGTTGTGAAAATTGACCGAGATGTCGATTTTAGCGGCCTTTTTATACTTGAAGGCAGCTCTTTTGAATGTTTTTCGACCTTAGTCACCCTCTATGGGTGTGCACTATATGTATTTTTCTACGTACTTTTCATATCTGGCCATAAAAATGGCTTCCTGTGAATTTTAAAAGGCCTAACGGTCCATTGTTGCCAATATTCACCAATTTTTAGGGGTTTTTTCAAGTTTACGTGTGTGAAACTTAATTTAATCTAGAAACCGTGAACAATTTCGGAAAGAACGTAAAAAAATACATAGAAATGTGATTTGTACCTTTTCCCTACGTTGCCAAATTTTCGAGAAAAATCGTCCTGAAGCGTCAAAAATGCCAAAAATTGGATAAATCATCACGTCGGAGGTTCCAGGAAGTGAATTTCAAGTTTTTTTTCACTACAAATAACGTATCGAAAATGGAAAATTGCAATGCATCTCAAGGAACATGTAATGGCGCAGATGAACGTGACAAAACGGGCCCTCAAGGTACGTTTACTTTATCCTTCACTCCAGTTCACCTCTTTATTCCTGTAACCTCGAGATAATCCTTGGTTCTCAAGATGCTTGCTACAGGCCAAATATACCGAGGAACAGAAAATGCGTGGAGAAAGTGTTCCACGATGCACATGAATGTCATAATTCACTTCCTGGAACCTCCGACGTGATGATTTATCCAATTTTTGGCATTTTTGACGCTTCAGGACGATTTTTCTCGAAAATTTGGCAACGTAGGGAAAAGGTACAAATCACATTTCTATGTATTTTTTTACGTTCTTTCCGAAATTGTTCACGGTTTCTAGATTAAATTAAGTTTCACACACGTAAACTTGAAAAAACCCCTAAAAATTGGTGAATATTGGCAACAATGGACCGTTAGGCCTTTTAAAATTCACAGGAAGCCATTTTTATGGCCAGATATGAAAAGTACGTAGAAAAATACATATAGTGCACACCCATAGAGGGTGACTAAGGTCGAAAAACATTCAAAAGAGCTGCCTTCAAGTATAAAAAGGCCGCTAAAATCGACATCTCGGTCAATTTTCACAACGTGGGAATCCAGGTACAACTATGATATTTTAGTATGTTGTATGGATGGATAAGAGCTGTTATCTGGTACAGTATGAAAAATGTACTCCACTTTCTTGAACCTTAGACGCGGCGATTTATCGATTTTTTGCCGTTTTTGACACTTTGGGACCAATTTTCTCGGAAATTTGGCAACACAGGAAAAAATTTTACTGAACATTTTTTATTCATTTTTTTACGTACTTTTAAAAAATGTACACAGTTTTTGGATTAAATTGAGTTTTGAATGTGTTAAATGGAAAAAACCCCTAAAAATGGGCCAAAAATGGCAACAATGGGCCATAAGGCCCCTTAAAATTTATCGGAGGCCTTTAAAAAGGCCAGAAACGAAAAGTACGCAAAAAAATACATAAGAATCATGTGCTGGAAGAGTGATAACAGTGGAAAAAGTCGACGAAAATAATTGTTTTTCGATTCCAGGATTTTGGGTTTGAGGCGCTGCTGCGCCCTTGCATGGGCTCCGTTCGGTCTAATATTTGGCACAGAGTCTACCTAAGACTAGTACTTTGAAAATATGAAACATTTAGCAAAATCCAGGTGGGGCCGGAAAAGGCCAAAAACGCAACTCCTCCTTTCAATTGCAGTTTCTTGTCAGTCAAAAGAAGTAATTTACCATAAGTTTTATTCAAGTTATGTTGTTCTTATTATGCATAATGTATTCGACAACTGCCGTAAAGTCTGATTGGTAATCAAATTGACCGTTTTGCCATTTCAAAAAGAGGGCATGAAACTCAGTGTCTTACAATAATATTTGCTCACATTGTTCATAGAGTATCAGTAATCTTACAAGTCAATAGTTCCTCGGTTTGTTGAGGCAGTCCATTCTTACCTATGATGTAAGAAGTTTGTCTTATTTTGTCAAGCCCGTAGATATCAGTTGCCACTGTCAAGCATATTTATTCACAGGATTTTCTTGTATGTTTTGATTATTTAATGAAACATTGCCTTCAAGCTATGATTTTCCTAAATAATTTTGAAAAAAAGGTAACTTCCTATATGACCACTAGGAAGGCCATGGCAATTTCAATTTGATTATATAATGTACCTACAATCATAGATTTTACTGGATGATTTGTCAGTTTTGGTTTCTTTCCTCAAATATTTGATAATCATGGATTACAATGTTGTAATGAAAGGCTTGCAACCATCTTTCATATAGCGAAAGTAATCAAATGGGATAAAAAGATGCTTGCTCGGTAATATTTGATCTCTCTTATTTTAATTTACATTGGAAATTACGTTGAGGAGGAGTAAAAAACTGAGAGAGAGAATATCTTTGTAAATTTTGCGAGATTTTCAATAATAATTTCACGCTCCAAAACAGAATCAAGAGTGAATGGAGTGTTGACTCATGGACTGTCTCATATTATTTTCGCATACCTAAATATTATGAATCTGAAAGACTTCACAGTTATAGCTTGGCAGAGTATTGCCATTAAAAACAATTGGTTTGTTTGAGTATCCTGTTTATAAATTTTGGCATTCTTAAAGTAGATTACTAGAAAATATCATGTAAATCAAGGCCACGGAAGCATCCAAAGAGATGTAGCTCAGTGCCTCTAACTGGACTTGACAATTGTAAGAATGTGTATATTAGTTTTTATCCTTTTTATTTTTGTACATGGTTTTTGTCATTGTGTTTCCAATAATGCAAAATTTGTACATACTGCAAATGAAGCATTTTTTGTTGTCAATAAACAAATCATGCTTACTAAAGACATTTTTCTTAATGATGTTCCTCATGCAATCATAACAGTAATTCCTGCCATAAATTTTGAATAACTCGTAATAAGTTTTTCTGTTTTTTTTTTTTTTTTTTTTTTTTTTTTTTTTTTTTTTTTTTTTAAAAAATTGTAAATGAAAACAGGCTGAAGCTCGTTAAATTTTAACTTTAATTAAATAATTTAACATTAATCTTGAAGTGTCCGCAATCTGTATTTTCTTAATTTTTTTTTGCTTTGTTTAAAACTTCAAACTTTGAACCACTGGTTTTATTAATCTCTCTTTTTAAGCGATCCCTTCTGCCTTAGGCTTCGTGTGCCATTAAAATTTCAAATTATTAACGAGTAACTATTGAAATCACCCAAATCGATGGCCAAAGTGCGCAACCATGTACCTCTGTCTGCGATGTTGCTGACCTGCCAAACTTAATTTTGCTTCGGACAATTGATCAACGTTATTTCTTGAAAACTTTCTTGATTTTTCCCCATAATTAGCAGATAACTCTGTATACCTAAATTTTGAGGTATGCCAAATTAATAAAATAGCGGAAATTTTGAAATATTGCAATGGAGGTAAGTGGTCATGCTTTTTGGCCATGGATACGCATTTGAAGTGTCTTAGGTATTGTCTTCTCAAATCAGAGTCTGAATATTTGATGAACAACATTTCTAAGACCCCAGGAGAAACAGAAGTATGATAAAAATTTGCTGCATTTATATACCTATCAGTAAAATTCTTTGCCTATTTATACTCATCATTTTCAGTAGGATTGATTGCAATTATAGCTAAATGATAGTTGTGGCGATTCCATTCCTTCTAAGGCGGACAGCTGATTTTTACAAGAGGCAAGGATTACTTAGGAGAAGGATTAGGAAAAGTTCAATATTTTTTACCAATATTTGTCACTTTTTCCAGCCATCGAAAAGTGTTTGGTAATGCTGTGCTTTACGTTGTAGAAACCGGGTTGAGGAGAGGTTGGTGTGGCCCAAAAAATTTTCGATGGCTTAAAAAAAAGTTACAAATATTGTTCAAACAATATATAGGTACAGCCATAAATTACTCTATTCTCAGTTAATTATTTTGCAAGCCTCAACATTTCATTTGAAAATCCACCTTCAACCATTGAGCTCGTTCGTTACAATCTGTTCTAAAATTCCAGTGCCAGGTATTGCACATTTCATTTCAAATCCTCATTTTTTTATATTCTTATTATTAGGTACCTGGCACAATGCAATGAAAAAATGTAAATAAATTTACGACTTATTTAATGCTATAAAATTGCGATTTTTTCAACCATAGCACAGCAATCTTTTTACATCATTCAGTCCG